GACAATGCATAGAGTTCACTTGCGGGGTATGATAATTACAGATATCTTTAACCTGTACTGTACAAGTGCCTCATTAATACAATTGCCCCTTGAAGGTGCTCACACTATTCACATGTGGAGCCTGCACATTCAGACAGAAAACAAGTTACTCTCCCCACTTTGTGTGTGGTTGCAGGCATTTTCCATTTCCATTGTGTTTGCAATTGGTATGAGATTGGAAATCAACACATGACACTCTTGGCAAAATGACTAGGAGGCTCAGCCTGGTATTTGAAACCGCCCAACCCCCACCCCACTTCCAAATATTCCATGTTCTTTTCTTCCTTGCACTGCCTTTCAACCCCATCAACATTGAGCTTCCCCACATTCCCTGCCAAGTATTAATATTAATAAATATTAACTACCACAACAGCATGGAAATCAAAGCCCAAGATGAACTTCAGGGACAAATGTACATGTATGTGGAGAGGTTTGGGTATGACATATCACAGCTTCTTGGGTAATTGACTGAGTTGCGTGAATCTACTATAGGTTGGTCGCCAATATCCATTACAACCCACCGATTCCCACAATTACTTGGATAACACATCCTCACACCTTGCTTCCTGTAAAGACTCCATTCCTTTGAATTCCATCTCCGTCATTTCTAATCTGATGATGCCACCTCTTTAAGGGTGTCCTCAGAAATGTTCACATTTTTCCTCAACCGAGGATTCCCCGCCCCCATGGTTAACAGATTAACACATTTCCTGCACTTCTGTCCTCACATCTTTTCTTCCTTCCCACAACACGCATACCCGCTTCCCACACCCCATGGTCCTCACTTTCTACCCTACTGGCATCCAAAGGATCATGAGCCACCATTTCTTCTACCTCCAGCAGGATGACATCACTAGACATATATTGCCCTCGCCTCCCTTCTTAGCATTTTACAGGGACCACGCCCTGTAGGACACTTTGGTCCACTCCTCTTCTACTCCCAGCACCTCCGCACCCCCCACAACACCTTCCCATGCAATCGCAGGAGGTGGAACACTTGCTTGTTTACTTCCTGCCTCCTCGCCATTCAAGGCTCCAAACATACCTTCCAGCACTTTGCCTGCACTCCACACAATCTAGTCTACTGCATTCGCTGCTCACAATGTGGTCTCCTCTATATTGGGGAAACGAAGCACAGGGACTGGGTGACGGCTTTGCAGAACACTTACGTTCTGTCTGTAAAAATGATGCTGAGCTTCCTGTTATTGGCCACTACAACACACCACTGTTTTCCCTGACCAACATCTCTAATTTGGGCAGTGCTCTAGCAAGGCTCAGTGCAAGCTGGAAGAATAGCATCTCATTTCACCTGGAAGTCCTGCAGCCTTCAGGGTTCAATATCGAGTTCAATAATTTCAGCAACTGAACACCCCCTCCAATGCCCTTTACCCACTTCCACACCTCAGGCCCTATCATGACATGGGCTGCTTTCAGCACAGCCAACCCATTTACACCTACTGGTTGGCCCCATTATCAGCTTTTCTCCTTCCCTGGCTTACTGTCAACTATCCCTTTGTCTCTGTGGGCTCTGTCTCCACCTATCCGCTTGATTCCTTTCCACCCAACCCCTGGTCTTCAGCATATATACCACCTTTTCTTAGCTATTATCAGTCTGCAAGAAGGGTCACTGGACTTGAAACGTTAATTCTGCTTTCTCTCCACAGAAGCTGCCAGTGCTGCTGAGTTTCTCCATCAATTTCTGTTTTTGTACCAAAAACATTACAATAGTTAAGGGACAGATTAAGTGAATGACTAAGATGTTATGAAAAGCTAGGTGATAAAACTCCCCCAGTGTTATAAATCCAATGTTTTTGCAGTGAATTTTGCAGTTACTTGGAAAAAATAAGGGTAGATTCAGGATGAATTAAGAATATTGAAATAAATGTGAAAACAAGTTGTGGTGTAACCAGAATAGATTAGGGAGTAGGGGACTGTGAAACAGTGAAATTCATGAAGGTGTCAGATTGGAGCATATATGAGATCTACAGATGTGGTTACGTGTTGAAACTTGTTACGAATTTGATTGATCAAATCAGTGTTGAGACAAAGACAAAGGTTATTAAAGTTTGGCTTGCGGTAGACACTGAAGCGATTATAAGAAAGCTGAAATTAAGTTTGCCTGAATGTGACCAGAGACAGCAGACATTCTGACTTTGCAGTAATGGAATATAGCCAAGAATTTTAAAGGTGGAGATCAGGATAGGATCGGCCTCAAAGTCAGGCAGGATTGACATGCTCAGTCACTGGAAGTTGTGCAAGGAGAAGTTGTCAGCACATCAGCCACCCAGTACATTGGGAAGGTGCAAGGGGGAATGAGGTCCTTGGAGCTGACATCAACCACCCCTTCTTCTCCAGGAGGCACACATCAGGCACACAGATAAAGAGGAGGAGCACAAGCCATCTGGTCTCCTCAGAGTACTCATCAGTTTATTTGTGTCTCTTCATCACCTTCATTACTGACTCCAACAACTCCAGCAAGTGGGAGTGAGGGTGACGGCGGGGATAACATCACACTGAACAGACTGTCTCCAGCTCTGACGATAGAGTTGCATCTAGACATCATTGACATCTAGTAATCATTGACTGCTTGTTGCAACCTGTCGTAGTAGCTGATGTAAGAGTCATAGCCCACTCCATGTTTCTCACAATGAGATTGACTGTGAGGTTGTAACAGGAATCATCACCGTTTTTCTTAATGAGAACTACTTCTGATTAATGAAAAATATCATGAGCCAATAAAACATATTTGAGAAATTATGAATTGATAAGGGTACGTTATTATCATAGCTGAAGTACAAATACATAAATTTAACATGAAGGAAAATTATCTTTATCTTCACTTCAATGTAAATCTTGATACTGCAGGCTACTATGTAATCTGTTGTATATCCTGAGAGGGCAACTCTTGATGGGTTCATTCAGAAAATGGATATTCAGGAAAGTGATGGAGGTCTGGTGATGAAGTGTTGGTCATGCAAATGGAATTATTATTATGTAACCTTGTGTAGCTCAGGTTGTCCCTGTCCAGTGCTAGATTTAGGCATTACCAAAGTAAAGGACAACCCAGAGGTCACATTGTGGGTGTGGGGATGGGGTGGACGGGGTCTCTCCAAATACAAAATGGTGAATATATTTCAAATTTTACATAATCAGTTGGAAAATAAAGAAATTGTGAAAATAAGACTCTCTAAAATGGACATTTTCATTCCAACAAAACATACTTATATGGCCCGCACCTACTGTATGGTCATGCAAGTGTTATGTAGTTATATAATTATTACATGACTTCACCTACATATCTACTCAATTATTGCATAAAACAGTCTTGCTTAGATATTAAGCGCAATCAGAAAGCTTTGATTTATTTCCCATCTCCGTCTAGAAATGCAGTGCTCAGACTCTCAGGCTCATGCGATGAACTCCAGTGCAATAACATGGTCACAAACATTTCCATTGTGTTGCCATTTGTTTTGATCTTAACAGTGACATGATCTATCTAGATGTTTTAATCACTAGCTAAAATTACCTTACGTGGATTTATCCACACAATAAGAAATACACATTATTCTTTGAATTTTAAAACATTTTCTTATAAAAATAGATTTAATTTCTGAAATTAATAAAGTGTAAAAAACATTTCCTTCTCACCTTTACTCTAGGAAAATAAATATGTAATTGAAATACACGTATTGAAATTATTACTTTTATTTTACTTATAAAGTATTCAGTTCAAATAATTTGTCTAAACTTTATTTCCTTCATTATTGTGGAGAGGCCTGTTAAAAATGAAGAGAATATTAGAAAGTTTTGTGATTTTTGCACAACTAAGTCACTGATTGTGTCCTCAAATGATAAACTTGGAAGCTTATTAGTTTCTGTGAACTTCACACTTTGTAGAAATTGGTTAGTCTTTTGTTCTCCCTCCTTTGGTGTAGTTCTTCCTATTTCAAACCTTTGTTAAGGATGTGACTTTGGTGAGAGATAAGAGTTGCAGCTGGGTGTCTGTCAACATTTATTGCTTCATCAATTTCACCTATCAATGACCACATGATTAGAAGAGAGTTACTAGAATACAAATTCTAGAGAATAAAACTGTGATTTTTGACCCTTTGGGGGGAGGACATTTCTGATTCACTGTTGAGATAGGGACATCCCTGGCTGGGCTAACATTTATTGCCTGTCCCTAGTTGCCCCTGAGAAGGTGGTGGTGACCTGTCTTCTTGAACCCCTGCAGTCTCTGTGGTGTAGGTAGACTCACAATGTCATTATGGAGGGAATTCCAGGATTTTGACTCCGTGAAAGGAAAAATTTGGTGAGATAATCTCTGGGAGCAGAGAATGCCACAGTTGTGACTGCTGCTATGAATGATGATGTTAATAAGAGGAGTGATGGTTTACAGTAAGATTGGCAATTCCTGAATTAATAACTAAGTTAAACTGTTGTCTCGCTAATTGAAGACATCTGCTTTAACAGATAGCACCATTTTATTTATACTATTTATAACATTTTAAAAGAAGTTACTAAATAAAGTGTTACAGGCAAAACACATACGTTTAGTAATCCAGCACCCTGAATACTACTTGATAGAAGCAAAACATTTTCTTCTGGTAGAGAAGAGGCAGTAGGTTCTGCAGGTGTTAACTCTTGCGTCTCTCCTTAGGGTGGCATCAATAAATTGCAGCAAATTGTTAGTCACAAGTTACCTGCTGTAAATGAAAGTGAGAATAGCCTGTTGCTTCCTGCCAAAAAGCAAATGGTTCTCCATCTGCACATAGATAACAGTGAACAATGGTTATATGTGCTACTTTTCAAATTAAGTTGTATGGGCAGTTGAGGAATTTCTAGTGGTGCTTTTGCTCCTTTTTAACAGCATATGCTAGGGGGTTATGTTGCTTCATCTGTAAAGACTTCTTTGTGGATCTATTGTACTTCTAATGTCTCTTTCCTGGATTTTTCTACAGGGCTTTAATTACTGCTGCAGTGCAAACCTTTCACAGAATTGTTTAGAGAAAGCAGTGGCAGCAATTGATGGAGCAAAATACAGTAGGTCACAGAGTCTGTATGCTATCAATTTTTGAAGGGGGAACAGTACAAGTGTTTATTTCATCTCAAGACAGATATATATCCCAGGTTTTGGTAAATTGTACGAGTTTGTTTTTGTGGTATCGTATATTGTGTGGGGATGAAATTAGGCATGATAGCACGCAATAATTTGAATGCCATAAAATCCTCTTCATGTTTCAAAATTCCACCCATAATGTGCATGCGCAGAGGTGAAATGCACTAGGTATCAGGTTGGGAAACAGTTTAGGGTGTATGCACTTATTATCCACCAGAATGATGTACAAAGCAGAGGCCCTTCAGCCCATCAAGACTGCTGGAACACGACACACTTCTAAATGAAAAACCCTTTGCCTCTTTGTGCCCTTTATTCCCTGCCTATTCATGTATCTGCCAAGATGCCTCTCAAACATTGCTATTGTATCTGATTCTACTGATTCTCAGATTCTATCCGAGAGAAGTAATAAAAGAAATTAGGAAGACAAAGAGGGTCTATGGAAATAAATTACCACGTAGGTACATGAATTTTTTAAAAAGGAAGACCGTAGTAGGGAATGGGATCATTAAAGAGATAGCTAGAATAATGCTACAGGCCACAATAAAGCAATGGCAAAAATTTTAAATTATTATTTAGCTTTAGAATATCAGATAGATAGAGCAGAGGGATATGTTGTTGAGTAATTAAATGAGGTAAGTACATTTAGAATTAACAAAAAGGGATGTATTGAAAACAAAAATTAATGAAGTTAGGGGATGAAGCCCATCCTGGGTGAATTGCATCCACATATTTCAAAATATTCTTAGACAGAGATAGCAGAGGCATTACCACACGTATTTAATAATTCATGACATAAAGGCATTGTGGCAGAAAACTGACAGATACTAATGTAAGTGCTATTTTGAAGAAGGGACACAGAACACTGAATTATCGAACAGTCAGCTCGGCATTACATTTATCAGAAAAAATTTGAAATCCCTACTGAAGGAGTGAACAGAGGAATATGTAGAAACAAAAATAAAATCATAGATTTCATAGGAAAAATCATGCTTGACTAGCCTTTTTGACTTTGAGGACATGATAGAGTAGATAATAGTAATGCATATGCAATGTACACGTAAGATATCTGGATTTTCCAAAAGCTTTTGATAAGATGTTCCAGAATTGACTATCGAATGATGTCAGAGAATAAGGAGTCAATGAACGATGTCAGAATTGATTATTAACTCTCCAATAGAGAAGCAGGGAGCCAAAATGAAGGATAATTATTCAGAGAAACGGCATCTGGGAATTAGTGTTCCTGAAATCACTAGTGGGATTGCTGACATTCACAAATTAAATTTACAGGGTAGTTTTTGGAATCAAAGATACAATTTCCAAATTTGAGAATGGCACCAAATTTGGAATGGTGATAGTCAATATCAAGAAAAAAAGTGCAACAAATTGAAAAAGGGAGCTAATAAATTTGCAGAATGGGCAAGCAATTGGCAAGTGATGCATATCTCACATTTATCTGTGAGCATTTTGCTAGGATGAATAGGGAGGTCACTTATTAATTGGAAGGTACAATTCTGTGTAGTGTAGAAGTATAAGGGGATCTCCCTACAAATACTGCAGTATTATCACTTGGACGATGGGGTTACACAGGGTTAGCAAAGTCAATGAAAAACATACACTGTGCTTTATTTATAGAATAATAGAATGAAAAGCCAGGGGAGTTATGTTAAATCTCCCTCACATCTCGGTTAGACCGAGAATGATGCATGCAGCTTTGGTTATCATATTAAGAAAGATTAAGTGAGAATGTAGAGAATCTTTGATAAGCTGCTAGCAGAAAGGCTTGGATATAAGTATCAGGAAAAGATTGACAGGCTGGGTGACTTCTTGAAAATAAAAACGAGGCTCTAGGACCGTTGCATTTAAGGAGTAGCTAGCCAAAGGAAAGAGGGAGAAGGGAATAGAGAATTCCGATGAGAGATTTAAAACAAGAAATATTAAAGGAGGGCAATTAGCACCTAGATACCAGTATGAACTGGTTGGGTCAAATGGGCAACTTCTGTGCTCACATCCTATGTGATCATATTGGATTGTCCAATCTTGAATTTCATCCTATTGGGCAACTCACTGATTGCTATTTCTTCCTACAGGTTTAGCATTTGCATCTGGCTCTGCGGCTATGATGACAATTGTACATCTTTTGAAGTCTGGCGATAACATCGTTTGCATGAAAGGTGTACATGGAGGTAGTGTTTGCATTGGCTGAAGTTAATACAAGAACAGAAAGGGATTTCTGCTCCTTTAGCTGGGAGAAACCAGTTGGGCAGACAGTTTAAATAGGAAACATATCCATTAACCTCCTTCTTAATCTTGCTGACAGGATACCAAGGACACCAGTGGTGGGTTGTTTTGTAAAAGATAAGGTTGCTCTCATTAAAGAGATACAACTGGTGGTGGCTTTAACCTGAGGGTCCTGCCTCAGGCAAGGGGAGAGGTTGAGAATGTCGACCTCATGATGATCTCAGCTTGTATGGGAATTGAACCTGAACTGTTGGTATCGCTCTGCATTGCAAAGCAACCAACTGAGTATCTGACCCCCAAGTGTTAATTTAAAATATTGTGACGAAAAGTCTATTTATAAATTTGTGATTTGGATTTCAAAATAGAGGCAGATGGATATGACAATTTATTAGTTGTTTTTTAAATAGTGAAAAAAATCATTTGGACATTGACTCAATACATCAGTTCTAAAAATGTGTGTGATTACAGTTGGGTGCCTGGGAGAACACCTGTAGTGTTAACAGTTGGAATGTTATACTTTGGGATTTATGACAGGCTATTCATCAACCTAAAAACTTTTAATAGGTATAAAGTACAATGTTATTGGAAACATTCTGTATTTCAGGTGCAAACCAATATTTCTGCAGAGTTGCATCAGAAATGGGTGTGGAAACCTCATTTGTTGACTGCACGTCAATGAAAACTCTGAATGCAGCTATCAAACCAAACACAAAAGTAAGAATATGCAGCAAGCTATGCCTCCTAACTCCAATCCATGCTTGTTTTATTTTAATATTACAGCATAAATAATTATCTTGTGCTTGTGCTGATGTTCAGAATTACCTACTTATTCTCATTTCTCCTGCCCTTTCTCCATATTATTTTTAAATGATTCTTTTTGCAATGCTTCTACATTTATCAAAGAAATATTATGGAGTATATTCTCATCATCATTGGAGAGCATTCTATTTGATATTAATTCTTATAAATAAAGAACTTCACCTTTGCTCAATTGATAATGATCTTCAAGTTATTCCCTCTGATAACTAGTTCACTGAACTTTGAACTGTAGCTACCTATTTTATAATTGAGCCTCTGTAATTCTGCACAATGTCACTGGCTAAAGTATGAGAAAAGTCGTGATCATGTTCTAGTACTTAAAAGGCTTAAACTCATCCATGAACTGAATTTCAAATTGCACCATTACAATTTGAGAATTTGATTTCTCAAGATAGAAATGAAAAATTGTTTTCAATAAAGGTGAATGTGTCAGACTGAAATTTGAAAAGAAACACAACTGGTGCATCAATTTCAGCTCAGAGAAGGAAATCAGCCATCCTTATCTGGCCTGGGCAATCACCGATATCTCTTTAATTGTTTTTCAATGTGGCATGACAAATTACTTGGAAAGTAGGGATAGCTAATAATGTTGATCCAACCTGTGATGCAGACCTTATGAAGGCTGTTATCTTACAAGACAAGTTTTAATTCGTCCTTGCAACTAAAGCTCCTTGTCCCTGATAGTGTCTAATAAATTGTATCAGACTCTCTTCGTGACATAATTAGTCCTGATGACTTTGGTAGTGCTTTCTAATGCTGATTGGCTGAAACTTGATGCACCATTTGAGGTATGATCTATACAATGACTGGAACTTGTATGTTTACAGTGCCCTTAATCGAGCAAAACATTAAGGTGTTCCTCAGGAGAATTATCTGATAACAAGCGACATCAGATGATTTTGGGGCTGATGCCCAAAAGGTTGGTAAGAGAAAGGTTTCACAGAATATGGTGTAGGAAAAAAAGAAAGCATTAGGGAGCTAATTTCAGGCCTTGGAGTGTTGGCAACCATACGTGGAGGGGTTAAAATTGGAAATGTTCAGAAAGAAAAACAGAAATTACTGGAAAAGCTCAGCAAATCTGGCAGCATCTGTGAAGAAAATATCAGAGTTAACATTTTGGGTCTGGTGACCCTTCCTCAGAACTGGGATGTTTAGATGTCAGGAGGTCAGAAGAATTATAGTTCTGGAGAAGATTAGATATAGGAAAGTGTAAGGTCATGAAGGGACTTAAAAAAAATAGGATGACTAAGTGTAACAGATGGGAAAGGTGCCCATAACAAAAACCAAAGGGAGAGCTAATTGTAGTAGGGAAGAGTTAATGGTGATGAATGTGTTAATGGCAGGTGTTAATAACAGAAAATGGGTCTGCTTTGCTGAAAGCAAACAAGGGTTGTGTATGGGGGGTGGGGTGGGATTTAGGGCAGAATCAGAATGGAGGACAGAGTTTATGGACTGAAGTTGTTGAACTCAATGTTAAGTCCTGAAGGCTGTAAGGTGCCGAAGCAGAAACTGAAGAGCTATTCTTTAAGTTTGCACTGGGCTTTGCTGAAACATTATAGCAGGCTTAGGACAGAGATGTTAACATGACAGCTAATATTTTTCCAGGTTTGAAGCCTGGTGGAAGAGGCATGTGAAGTCCTGGAGTCAGTGTAAAATATTGTAGATTGCACTGATAAAGGACATTCTACAGGAATGAAGCTACAGGAGGTATGCAAGATCATTTGGCACAATTGAGGGATAGAAGGATATCCAGTGTTAAAACCAGGGAGATTAAATAATGGAAGCGTATGGGTGAAGGATGGCAATGAATGGTCACTCAGTGGGAGACACAATATCCTCCTTTCCTCTATGTGCCACACAATTAGGGAACTCTACTTTCCAGGTAGCCATGATCATATAATTAGGTTCTTCCTGATCCCAAGTGACCCACAGGTAGGTGCAGCATTTTCATTTTGATCAAATGGGAAAACAAAAATACCCTCTTTCCGAGCTTACCCAGACAAATCCACAGCTGCCTAAGATCCTGTCCATCTGTGCTGCAAATTTCGAGCATTGGTAATAATATGACCCATGACCCTAATTTTCTACCTCAATGTTTTAATATTTAAAACGACGATTAAGCTTCTCCCTTTCTTTAGAATATCACAATGCTCAACAAACCCTAGTATGTCCATGTAACTGTTGCCTAGATGATGCTCCTGTATCTCTGCTGTAAGTTATTAACTAGCTTCAAGACATGTATGAGTAACCCAGGAGGGTAAAACCCCTTTGAAGGTATTCACAGGCCTGTTCTGCCAAACAAGAATCATATTTGTACAAGCATCATTTTCAGCAGCTTCTAAAGAGCTAATTTTATCCTTATTTAGAATTTCATTCTTGTGGTGGGCATGCTTTTCCAATTTCCCCACCACACCTTCGAAATGAGCGCTCATAATTGAATCCTACTTGGCACGATGGCTCAGTGGTTAGCACTGCTGCCTCTCAGTGCCAGGGACTAGGGTTCGATTCCACCCTTGGGTGAATGTCTGTGTGGAGTTTGCACATTTTCTGTGTGGTTTTCCGCTGGGTCTTCCTACAGTCCAACGATGTGCAAGTTAGGTGGATTGGCCATGTTAAATTTCCCCATAGTGTCCAAGGATGTACTGGTTAGGTGGATCAGTCATGGGGAATGCAGACTTATGGGGATAGGGTGGGTCTGGATGGGATGCTCGTTGGAAGCCGAATGGCCTGCTTCCATACTGTAGGGATTCTATGATACTGGAAGTTCCACATTATTCATTCCATTTAATATTTTCTTCAGCCTAGTTCTATGAATTTGTACTGATTCACCTAAAGTATCTAAACTACTTACAAGTGATGTCCTGGTGTTACATATAGTTACAGCATTATTAATGAAGCTATGTCATAGCCTTGTCTGTTGGTGAGATTATGTTTGATTCCTGGAACTCCCATACAGGTTAGCATCTTCATCTTCATTTACCAAAGGCAGCCTGGTTCTAGCGTGTTCTGGGAATTCCCTCAAATCATGATGCAGCATTCAATTTGGCAATGTTTGCAGTGCCCGGGTAGTCTCATGTCTGTTAAAATAGTCATTACTGGCACTACCTTTTGGTGCACATTATAATACAGAACCAGTCATATGGAAATAATAACAGTCTGCTCGTTTCACCAGCAATAAGTTGCCATTCATGGAATCATCAGCCTTACCTCAATTTTCTGTAAGAGAAGAAAAACAAAAGACCTGGTTTGTGAGCAGTTTTAGTCGCAATTATATGATAATTATAACGATGTTATAATTAGACACATTATGATTATGATGATATTGTAATTAGGATCGAATTTGGCTCTCCTGTTCCTTTAGACTTCTATGTGTTGGTGTTCCCTATCATGGAGATGGTGTTTTGCCCAGTGCTCCATCCGGGAACAGTACTCTAAAGTTAATGTGCCTTCACCTGGTTTGTGACTATCGGAGCTTCATCGATAATACCCACCCTAGTTTGGGAATAGAACTCCATTGTAATCTTGGATGACGGGATCATAAGAGAGGCATATCCACCAGAACCATGAGGCGTCAGTTCTGTATTTGTCACTGGAGAAGCATCATCTGATTAACATGGCATGACTTGACTGATTTGTGTAGCTGAACTTGATGCAACAACAGGACTGGCTTTGTCTCGTACAGAGTAATAGTAGACTGATTCAAACCCACCTCCCCTTGCATTGTTTTGCATCATCACCTGACTGCCTCACTCAACTAAATTAAAATCCATTTATTTCTTCTTTATGTGTAAACAACACCAAAATGTTGTGTTGAGTGAGATTCAGGAGCGAGTCTGTTATGATTCACAGGAACTGAGGTATGTCACTTTATTCAAATATGCACATGCAATCAGGTTGCTGCATTGAGAGAGTAAAACATCATGACAATCCCTGTCTCCTGACAGACCGTTGACCCCATGAAGGAATTGGCTGCATTTAACCTTCAGACATGGCCATTTGCTTGAAGCACAAGCAGGGTGCTGGCAAAGTAAGCTGCTGGCACATGCTGCAGGGGTGACATTCATAAAGGTACCATACAGCACCAGGTCCACCCCCTTCACTGTTTGATTCTCTAAACTGTGACGATCTGCATCTGTGCTGTAAAGCAACACAAGCGACAGGGTATGGCAACCCATGACCTTGCTCTGAAGTAGCTATATACTAAAAAGAAATGCAAACTACATGATGACCTGCCTGCAAAGAAATGCAAAATAAGGAGCGCTAATAAAAGGCAAATTACCCACACTTCCATATTTACATGCACCCTTGAAATATAAACTCCTTTAATGAATTATGAATTCAGTGGACAAAAAAATTAATTACAACTTATACGGAGATATTATCATTGGAGCTTTCTTTGCGTTAACAATCTTTTCAACATTTGTCTTAAAACCAAGACAGAACTCAAATCAAAAGCAAGCAAGATAAATAAATTACATTAGTGGTTTCACTATTTTTTTATTTACATTTTTTAAAATATAAACTCTCCCACACTTTATCAGGGCTTCCTTGTTGTGACTGGCTCCTCTAGGCACATGCCTGACTCTTGGATGTTGTAGATGGAAAATGGTTCTCACCCTATTTGCTCTTGTCACCCCTGGATTTTGAGAATGCTGCCACCACACATACTATTCCGCCCTGCACTTGCAATTTTTCTCCAATTATCTCCGCATGTAAGCTCCTGACTAAAATTTTATTGCCGTAGTCTCATACCTCCTGCCTTGCTGCTATCATAACCCAAACTGCTGTTCCTAAGACTAGCCAACAGGGGGATCCTCTTTGACGACTATGCAGCCTTGTGTACAGATTTCATGACTATCTGTACCCATCTCTGTTTTAGGGGCCATTTCCCTGCTATGTATTCTGTGACAGATGCACCCAAAGTTTGTTTTGCCATTTCTTTACTGTCTGGGATGCTCTCATGGTCAGAAAAAATCCATAAAAGTCTTTAGAGGGTGATGAGAGCCCTGTTAACGTTCTAAGCCCATACGCTAGGTATACAATATGAAGCAAACTTTGGATATAATTTCCGATTCATGTGGAAACTCTTCATTAACCTTTTTAAATAATAGCATACGCTTATAACACCAGTTGCTTCATGAGATCCCATGTGCAGGAGCTCATAATCAGGCAGGTACTCCACCAGTGAACTTTCTGCAGTTCTTCCCATGGCTGACCACATCATTCTTCCTTCGCTACAACTACAATGTCATTATGGACTGCCATGTTCTGACCATGGTTCCTTAGCCTTTAAATACTGCCTTAAGTCAGGTCATCTAATTAGGGTTCGGTGCCTTATCAATCCCACTATGGCTACGCAAGACGTGGCTGTTACCTGCTCTTAGCAAGGTCTCTATCCAGTTACACACCATCAATTTGTATCTTGGGGAGGCTACGTGTAGGAAAATTATGCATACAGGTCCACAGAGGCCATTATCTAGAAAGGTTGTGCAGACAAAGAGTGTCTGGTGGTAAACTACTGCCTCAGGTAAATGACCTGACCTGTCTGTGCGTCTATATTCCTGTTTAGTTAAAATTGTAATTATTTCTAAAAAGTTCAGTGCAAGCCCTAGCAATGATATCTTTGGCCAGAATTCTTCTCCATTCTACTTCATGTTCCTACTGGCGTTGACCTCTACACACAGTTTCACATCACAACTGGTAACATATATTTTCACAGGCAAAAATAGAAGGCATATTAAAAATGCTTTAGAGTCCAATGGAAATTTCCAAAATATTGAAATGCCTTTGGATACACAACATGATGGGTCAGCAAGACATATGTTATTGAGAACATACATCTGGAAATTAAGGACACTAGAATAAGAACATGAGACCTAAGAGCCCAGCAGGACAAGTGTATCCTGTAATAGTCCAAGAGGATAGTAATGAACTTAGCAGAGCTGGGATGGGTAACTCAGATCTGACAATACCGTGATAAGTAACCTGAGGTTTGTAGCACTGGGATGGACTCTCCTGTTTGGAATCACTAATGGGAGGGGTGTTGTCTTGAAATTGTTTATTTTTCAGAATTTGAGGTTGGAGAGATTCCTGGGGTGGTTTAAGGGATTGTGTGTGACACAGGGCTGTTTCTCTGAGACGTGCACTAATGATAACTAAACTAAGAAGCTTCACATGCATGCTAGGAGAACTGGAGAGTATCAGTCTTAGAGTTTTGAAACAATGAAAAGTATACTCCTGGAGGTTATTAAAGTTGCTCAGAGCTGGGATTTGATAGGTTGCGAAATCTATTGGTCATAAGCTAAAAAAAATCCCCATTAAGCTGGAACACTGAGGATAAGGGTGGAAGATGCTGGAAATTGCAGGAAAGAGGCATATTACCTTCAGAAGAAACATTACTAATTCATTCCAGTAGTTGCTTTGAGACAGTAGAGGAAAATTGACAATGTTTTGTGTCCTTTTTAAAAATCAGCATCAGTACAGGGTTAGGGTGATGGAATAAGGAAAGTTGCATGGAATTCACTGAGGCGTATTCAAAGTGTATTCTCCATTTTTCCTTGAGTAATACTCCTGTAGTAATTTCCCAAAGGCTATTCAGGGAGTCATAGATCACAGAGTCCTACAGCACAGGGTTAGGCCTTTCGGCCCAAACGGGTCCATGCCAACCAGATGTCCATTCATGCTAACCCCATTTCCCTGCATTTAGCCCATATCCTTCTAAACCTTTCCTATCCTTGTATTCATCCAAATGCCTTTTAAATGTTGTTAATGTACCCGCCTCAACCACTTCCGCTGGCAGCCCAATCCATTTGCATACGACCCTCTGTGTAAAAAAGTTGCCCCTCGCGTTCCCATGTATTCTTTCCCATCTTACCTAAAACTGATGCTCTCTAGTCCTCAATTCCTCAACTCTAGGAAAAAGACTGAGTGCATTCACCCTATCCATGCCTCTCATGGTCTTGCACACTTCTATGCGATACCCCCTCAGTCTTCTATGTTCTAAAGAAAAAAAAGTCTTAGCGTGTCCACTCTCTCCCTATAATTCAGTACCTTGAATGCTGGCAACATCCTTGTAAATTTCTTCTGCACTCTTTCCAGTTTAATGACATCCTTTCTACAGCAAGGTAACCAAAACTGAACACAATACTCCAAGTGCAGCCTCACCAAAGTCCTGTACAACTGCAAAATAGCTTCCCAACTTCTATGTTCAATGCTCTGACTGATGAAAGCCAGTGTGCCAAAAGGCTTTTTCACTACCCTGTCTACCTGTGACTCCACTTTCAGAGAACCATGCACCTGAACTCCAAGGTCCATCTGTTCCACTACACTCCTTAAGGCCCTACCATTCACCATGAAACTCCTACCTTAATTTGACTTTCTAAAACAACTTTACAAGTTGGTCATTCATAGTTTCCAACATATACAAGAAAGAACCACATTGGAGAAACTTTGCCTGATTGTACAGAAATGTGCACAGTATATGGGTGGACAAGATGTCCTATATTGAGACAGCAATTGCTGTAGAAACTCAGCAGGTCTGGCAGCGTCCTTAGGGAGAAAGCAGAGTCTGCACCTGACTCAAATCTGTTAATTTTGCTTTCGCCCCACAGATTCTTCCAGACCCATTGAGTTTCTACAGCAATTTCTGTTTTTGTTTCAGATCACCAGCATCTGTAGTTCTTTACTTTATTGCACTATATCAATAGTTTTCATTTGGCATTTCGGAGCATTAGGATAGGGGAATAGTCATTGGAGATTAGTTTACTTTGCTGTCACCAATATAGAAAAACAGGCAAATCTCCTTCTGGCAGCAAAATACTGACATGCAGGACTAAACCTGATAATGATAACCACAGTAACTAATCAATCAGGCAACTGCATACCCCACCCCCAATCCCAATCAACCATCTTCATCCCAAACCAACCACGTTCAAGACTGTCATGTACAGATCTAAATATGGTACAATGTCCACTTTCACGGTCATGACCTTTTAGAAGACAACAGCCTGCATTACTTTATTTTCACTTCCCTGAGAGTGTCCCTATGAAGGAATCTCTGTCACCAACCTGTTTATGGTTCTTTTCACAGCTTGTTTGGATTGAGACTCCTACTAATCCTATGATGAAAGTTATTGACATCAAAGCTTGTGCAGAAACTGCACACAAACATGGAGACATCATTCTGGTTGTGGATAACACCTTCATGACATCGTATTTCCAGGTAACAGTGGTGGTCCACAACTAGCCACGTTGCTCAATTGAATTAACATATCAGAATGCAATTTCAAATATTTGGTGTGGGTTGATTTCTTTTCATTGAAATATCACCTTTTCTTTCCTCATGTTTCTTAATAAGCCTAATTATGCTCAGGAATCAGTAAAATTGCTACTGCAGTGATAAATCCTGTACTTAAATTGAGAGATAGGTATACAAAGACCTTCTGTTATTGAACATGGAAAATAACATTGCGTCATTGTATTGCTGGTGCAGAAATTGTTGCACCATTATATCAACTGTGCACTCTATGAAACATTATAGTTTCAAAATTTATTTTTCATTGAAATGTAATGGTTTTTATTGGTAATTTCAGATCCAAGCCTCCTTGCAATAAGGTTTTTTTTAACAAAATATGCAAAAAGGGAATCTGATCATCGAGCCCGTTCAATCTGATCACGGCTGATCTTTAGCTTCAACTCTATTCTGCTGCTTACTCTGCATGCCCTGATTTGTTTTTGAAGAAATATGACATCATTTCAGCAGTTAATCTGTCACTTTTCAAATTGTAGTATAATTTGTCAGTACTTTTAGTCTTTGGATGCACTTTGACATCAAACCTATTATTGAAAGACATAAGGACAATAAAAGGCCTACGTTAATCCATCCACTTAGACTCAAATTTGATAAAATGGAATGTGTAGTCCTTTGTCCTACATGCTCTTGAAATGCCTGACCATCTGCTTTTATGATTCTCGACTTCAGCTGCTTCTCTAGGAACTCAGTCTGTGAAATCTATATTTATCTGTGCATTCATCTTCCCCCTTTTGAACATCATCTGATACATTTAACAGAAAATAGGAGCAGAGGTCGGCCATTTGGCCCTTCGAACCTGCTCCATCATTCAATATGATCATGGGCTTTCCATCCAACTCAGTATCCTGTTCCCGCTTTCACCCTATACCCTTTAACCCTTCTTGAAAACATCCAATGCTTTGGCCTCAACCGCTTTCTGAGGCAGAACATTCCACAGGCTCACCACATTCTGGGTGAAGAAATATCTTCTCCACTCTGTCCTAAATGACCTACCTCTTTTCCTTAGACTGTGACTCCTGGTTTTGGACCCCTTGATCCCTGGTGATGGTCCCTCACTGATGCCTTAGACCAACAACACTGAACTGTGTCATCTGCTAGAGCAGCAGTTGAGCTCAAAAGGCCAAGAAGTTTATAGCTGCTTTTAAGCTTGCAGCTCATGTCAGGGATTAACTGGGGACCTACGTGGCAGTTCCCCATGATGTACACATATATCCAGGATGTCAATGCCATTTTCTCCAGGTCCCAGCTGATCATATCCTTCTCTCTTGGGAGAGTGAGGCAGCTTGGACAGTGGGATTTCCATTAAACTCAGCTTTGCGAACTTGCAGGACAGTTGATATACCATGTCTCCATTGCTTTGAAAGTGTCCTATCACTAACTTGTACAGTTCTTCAGCAGGAAAGTGTTCCATTCCATCAATGTTCCAATTCTATTCAATCATCAATGCCAAATTTTGGATATCTATGCCAGATATCCTGGGAGTTGACATGATGTCTACATGCTACAGCACACAAGTTCATGTCTCCTTCCAAGGTCCTTGGGCCATACACTGATAGCTGCTTGGAGGCAAGGCCTATGCCCACCAAACATGGTTGTTCACACTTCTTCAAAGTCTTCAGACTGGTGTGGAATGGCAATGCAATGCTGCCCATACTTCCACTAGGACCATAGTGAAATATATCTTTCGCTTCCTTAAGCTGAAGTTTCAATGCCCGAAAGGTTGTGCCACATCATTGTGGTATTCTGCATCCTTCACAATGGAGATGACAAAAGTGGGAGGTCCTCAAAGCAGATGAAATGGGGGATTGACAGAATTTATCTGTGAATGAAGCTGAAATTGAGGATAAGGCCATTGACCGGGAGGGACATTCATTAGAACATGACAGAGCAATGCCTTATTGAGCGTGAGATGCTAGAGAACATCTAATTAAAACCCATTTCCAGGATGAAAAGTTGGCTTGATCTTCCTTTCTATTGGTCTTCTGGCAAGTGGCCCTGCTTAGAGCAAAGTACATGTGGATTGTATTATATTTGCAGTATTTAACCTTTTCTGTTGCTCAATAGGGAGGTTTAGGGAGTGTTTAAGGCCTTGATCTGCATATCATATCCAAATGTTCTCTCTCATTATGAACTAGAGATAACAAGGTGTAGAGCTGGATGAACACAGCAGGCCAAGCAGCATCAGAGGAGCAGGAAGGCTGACATTTCGGGCCTAGACCCTTCTTCAGAAATCATAATGTTCTGAATGTAGACATTGTCACGGTTGGGGCCAAATTGGGAAGGCCTGAATGTGGACAGTAGTCCATTGGGGATGATCTGGTTCCGTAGGCAGGTACTAATAAAGGTGATGTGGCTGTAGCACCTGGTTTGCTTCAGGACGTGGTCCAGCAGTTTCAAGGCCGAAGAGATTACGAGAGAGTTGCAGTGGGAGAGAGATCCACTGAGGTTGTTCTGGAGGGAGGAGGGTAACTTCTTCAGGGTAGGCATCCTGAAAAGAGGCTTCGCAGTGGGGTTAAAATTGTTTCAGAGACAGTAGGAACTGCAGATGCTGGAGAATCTGAGGTAACAAGGTGTAGAGCTGGATAAACACAGCAGGCCAAGCAGCATCAAAGGAGCAGGAAGGCTGACGTTTCAGGCCTAGACCCTTCTTCAGTTGAGAAGAGATTTTGACAACAGTGTGGAGCTGAAGGAACACAACAGGCCAGACAGCATCAGAGGAGCAGGAAAGTTGACATTTCGGGTCGGGACCCTTCTTCAGAAATTTTTTGCAGCTTTTCTTCGCAGACCACTGCACTACGAGGGAGGTTGGAGATGTGAACTATCCATAATCCACCTCCCAGACTTGAATGAATGTGTGGTTCTTTGAAAAGCTGATAGATGGAATGAAACTTTGCCTCCTGAGATGTGTGGAACCATCACTGATTCCGCACTTTCAGGATGAGAGTGTGCGCGGGCCAGGCCTGAGCACAATTCCTGAGTCTTGGAATAACAGGAATAACAAAAACAGAGGTTAAAAGGCTAATTTCAATTCTACTGGAATGGACTACTGGGACTGAACACTCTCATGTGTGCCATTCTGCATTCAGCTGTTAGTGAGCTGTGCAATTCACAGTCAAAGAATTATCCCCCAGTGACGTTATGTTGCAAGTAAACACCATATCTCACTTCAAGTGCTGCAAGCCAGTTAAAAAGGAAACAGGTAACAAAGTACTCGCTGACCATGAATATTGGAATTTAATTGTGGTCAAAAGGCATCAAAATGACAGAATCAGAACCAACTTGCAAAACTAAGGATTGTGAAGCCGACGATTCACCTACCAATGTCAACGCGACTGGTAACGTCCGCTGCTCTGGCCACAATATTTAAACACCTGCACTTTGCAAACACTCGGAGACTTTTTAAAAAATAGATATATGGAACACTTTTATCCTTTTTCACTCAGTCCTTATTTCTAATCTGTGTGTATATGTGTTGCATTACCAGTACTTCTTGTGTTTAGTAGTGAATAAACTTAATCTTCTTGTAAATTCAAGAAAACTGATTAAATTGGCTCCCGCTAACACACAAATTAGTTTGGTGTCCGCAAAATTAACCTGACTGCAACCAACTGAGCAGTTGAGTGAACAAAGAGGAGCTAGTTCATCCCTCTTCACCTGGGAGATGAACAATTTCAAGAATTCTGTCTGGGATCATAATGCATTTAGGAAACTAGCTAGGATCTGGTCATAACAAATAAACTTGGCTACATCCTAATCCTTGAGCTTTGATTTATTTTGACCCTTTTTAAAAAGTAATTTTTACAGCAGAAGTCTAACTCGGTTTAATGTTCTACTTTTGCAGTCAGTTTTGTCGCAATAGATTTTGGATGTTCTCGCCAATGAGAGCATGAATATCAGTTGTTTGTGTGCATGTGTTTTTAATTGCCTGCATATATGGTGCAGATAATTGCCATTGTTCAAATGTAACGTGCTTTGAAAGTACAGCAGGTACTGGTTCATAACCTTCAGTAAATCTGAAGAGCGGACTGCTTTTGGAGGTTGGTCGGGGGTGGGATTGTGGTAATGCATGGAGCTAGACAGTGGCCATCTGAAGCTTAATTTGATCAAGTGTTTTCATCTTACATGCCTTTTCTATCTCCTGATTTATTTTCTGTCCCACATTGTGATTATTTCTCGGAGGCCTGTACATAACTCCAATGAGGGTCCTTTTTCTTTGTAGTTCCTCAACTCTACCCACACAGATTCTTCATCTTCTGACTCTGTATCACTTCTTGCTGTCGAATTAATTTCATTCCTTAGTAAGATGGTAACTCCGAACCTTTACCCTTCTGCCTGTCCTTTTCATAGGACATTTGTCCTTAGATATTTTGTTCCCAGCTCAGAGGCCCTTGCAGCTATATCTCTGTGATAGCCACAACATTGTATCTGCCAACTTCAATCTGTGCCACAAGTTCATTTACTTTGTTTTGCATGCTGTGTGCATTTAAATACAATACCCTTAAAATGTTTTCAATCCTCTGGCTTGCTATTCATTTTTGCCACACATATGTTTTTTTTCTTTCAATTTAATACTATTCTTGAGTTCATTGGACACCAGGATTGATTTATTCCCTTCCCAGAATTCCTCATTGGGATAGATCTTAATTGTGAGCCATAAACTATTTTCTTGAACTTCTACCATTGTTCATCAACCATGTTTTCTGCAAAACTCCTTTCCCAGTCCACTCCAGTCAACTCTGCACTCATTACTTAGCTATTATCCTTTGTTAGGCTTAGCACAGCTGTTTCCAATCCAAGTTTCTCCCTCTTAAACTGAATGGTAAACGATATCAGGTCAACATTTCCTGGGGCATCTTTTACTCTAAATTCATTTATTAAACTTGCCTCAATTGCACATTACCAAATCCAAAATAGCCTAATTGCTGGTTGGATCCATAAGATATTGTTCTAGGAAACTGTCCCAAATACTATCTATGAATTCTTCCCTGTCATTACCTCTGCCAATTTTCCAGTCCACACAAAGATTGAAGTCACCCATGATTAATGTACTACCTCTTTACCTGATTTATTCTTTGTCCTAGAGTATTGTTACTGCCATGGGGCCAATAAACTACTCACGGAAATATCTTCCTCCCCTTGTTATTGTTATCTCTGTCCATATGAGTTAATGTCTTCTGACTCAAGATCATTTCTTATTTATTCCATGTTGTCCTACCAAAGCCACACGGCCATCTGTCCCTCCAATAAGTCACAAACCCCTAAATATTTTGTTCCCAGTTTGGATCTCCTTGTAACCATAATGGCTATAAGATTTTACCTAATAACCTCTAAGTAATTCCTTTAGTTTTTTTTCCCCAATTCTATATACTTTTAAATAAAGAGTTATTAATTTTGCTTTTTACATTTTTTATCCCCTTTGGCCCTATTTGCTGCGTGCTTTTATTTGCTTGTAAATTCAGTCTCTTATTGCCCCAGTCTGGGTAGAATTCCCTAAATAGCTGCCCTGTGTTCATAAAATATGGCCTTTGTTCTTTACTAACAACTGAGGTACAGTAATACAGTTGATGTTCATGGATTTAGGTGCAGAAATTGGCCTGTTTCATACTGATCAATAGTCAACTGGAAATGCATGTGTGGACACACTTGAGGATAGAATCACAGTGATGGTTTCCTGCTGCTGGTATCAAGTAGTTTGTCAAACTTCCCTGTTTTGATTACAGTACGTGCATAAACTGCCATTTATGCTTTTATTCCAGAAAAGCAACAAATTCTTTGGGTGTGAAATGAGAAATTTGAGCAGCGGGAAGGAAAGAGATGAGAAGATAAGACATTTTAATGCAGTGTGGTTTTATTATGTTTTTGTCAACCATTCCCATTTGACTGGAGTTGACCGACAATTCTAGATGAAATCACCAATTTGCTATGAAGCTCGGGAGGTTTGTGCTAGAAGTTTAGTCTATTTCCAAAAGATGACTGGAGCCTTAATACTCCAGTCTAATAACTGTTTCACGTGGTCTTCTTATGTCAATATGCTGTAAATTGGAAATTAGTTGGACAACTGCATTTTAAATATTATTACATTATACTATGTATGTTATATTATTTGATGGTTCATATAAAATGAAATTCTCACTTACAGAAAATTGTAGATTTTATTTTTCTTTTTTTAGCGCCCCTTGGCACTGGGTGCTGACATCTGCATGTGTTCTGCAACAAAATACATGAATGGTGAGAGCATTCGGTATTCAAATAAAGCATTATATTTGCAATTTAATGTTCAGGCCTTGAAATAACTGTTCAGAGATGGTATCCCATCACCAAGTCACCCATTATATACATGTTCACAGTACATGGCTGTGGCCAGGCAGCTCAGAGTCAGTCCCTGAAGTGAGGAGATTCTGAATCTCCTGGTCATCCAGGGCTTCCTAATTGGCACAGGTTAACAACCCCAATCAAGGATTTCACACTCAATAAGATCCATCTGGTTCCAGTCACTACAGACCTGTTGTTTGGAAAATAATGATGAAATTCTGATGTCATGTTTTGGTCTGTTCAAATGTGTTTTGTAAAATGTGCAAACATTTGAATTGTTATGATCTCCATAAGGCTTTCTTCATCTGTCTGCCAGTTCTAATTGTCAATGGCAGGAGTTATATGCGTTAACAGTGTTATTACCTCCAGTAAGGTAAATTTATCTACTTAAACGTTTTATTAGCCTAAGGAGAGGATCAAAGAGAGGTCCTTAGGAACTAGGAGAGATTTCAGATCATTTAAGGATCTTACTCAGAATTGCTAGCTATAGGTTTGGTCCTGTAATTAAATTTTAGTAATTATCCTCTTAGGAATTTTTGGAGTACCAAAATTATCTCAGAATACAACATATCTACAAATATGTTGTAGCAGAAACAACTCATCTGAGTTAACCAACATTAGCACACAGAAGTGAAAGCAAAGCATTGTGGATACTGGAGATCTGAAATAAAAACAGAAATTGCTGGCAAAACTCAGCAGGTCTGGCAGCATCTGTGGAGAGATAGAGAAACAGAATTACCGTTTTGAGCCCAACATGGACACATATGGAGTTGTACTGAGCTCAAAAACTCTGACCTGCATCTTAGCAGAAACAGGTTATGTTATTTTCGGTGAGAACTTCATGGAGGTTGACCTTTCATGAGGCCTAGTGAGCTTTCTCATGCTATCTTTGTGCGCTTGCTACATTACCTACACACCAAGCCCCTGTGGCAGCCTGCTCATCCTATTCTCCCGCATGCTTTAGAACATCCTGTGACTGTACTTAAAAGGCTGTTGTGCACACAGTCAAGTGCTTTCTGTCCAACTTGTCCTGCATTGTTTGTATCATTTTCCCTAGACACAGCAGATAAAATTGGCACCCGCTTTGTAGGCAAGGACCCTGAGGTACTGACGGACAGGATTTTTCAGAGGAGAGTCACCCACTTCCCCTACAGGAGGCAATGATACATGACCCTGACAGCCTAGTCCGAGTTGCCAGCTGGGTCAGTGTGGTCTCCAGAGTCTGAAGAAAGGTCCAGCAGTGTAAGAAGAAGGACAAATCTCTCACTATTGCATGCAACATCTTCCCTTACTCACTCTTACCCACTCAACTCCGCCCAGAATACTAACCCTGCCCAGCCTCTGTGCTACCAAGCTACATGCTTAGAACAAGTTACCACTTTTCCCTCATCTGCACCAACGCTAACAGCTCTGCCAGGTATACACACAGATCTGTACTTTATCACTCTAGTTACTGGAGCTCAGCTGCAATGACAAGGCGACAGAGGTATATGGGAACTTCACCTCAATCCAGATGCCCCTCCCTCACAAGGAGATTGGATGATGTCAATAGCTGGAGAAGGAACCACAAGCAGGCTCCCCAGAAGGCCTCTTCTGAGGCACTCAGGAGGTAGCTAGACCTTCCACCTTCACATTGCATGCCACCCTCGGCTCTGTGGGGGTTCAAGCTAAGGAGGGTGCCCCCATCTCTAAGCAGAACATAATCAGCTTGTCTGGTCCCTCTAGTCACAAATACTCCAAAGGCACCCAATCAAAGCTCCAAGGTGAATGGGTTCCACCTTAAGTCGGGTCCCTCACCCCAGCTGCAAATCCTAGGACTGCATTAAAATGTAATGGGAGGAAGGAAACATGGATGACACTTCATTGTAAATGCTTTGTCACACTTGTTAATATGTTTTCACTTTTCATCATCAAGTTATGTGAATGAATGTCTGTCTAGCCACAACTACAAGATTGAATTTACAGATCATAGCCATCCTTTGTGCTATACAACGTTTTACGTTCCAAGGTATGAAGTAATTCCTGTATCATGAGCAGGCTATGGGAACTTGGGAGGTGCTTGATACTTTGGCCCCTAGACTCGATCTTCCAGGTCACAATACATTGCTCGTGCATCACAGCCATGAGTCGGATTGATTCATGATGTTGCATGATATGATCAAGAGTGGTTGGGGTCAGGATTTTGGACTCCATAGCATCAGTTAATGCCTAAGGTTCCCATATAGCTTTTAGGCATTTTTCACCTGTCGATTCATAGAATCCTCACAGTGGGGAAACAGGCCATTTGGCTCAACAAGTCCACACTGACTCTCCAAAAAGCATCCCACCCAGACTCACCCACCAACCCTATCTCTGTAACCCTTCATTTCCCATGGTGAATCCTCTTAACTTAACATCCCTAGACACTATGGGCAATTTAGCATGGCCAATCCATCTAACCTGCACATCTTTGGACTGTGGGAGGAAACCTGAGCACCCGGAGGAAACCCTGGGGGAGACATGGGGAGAATGTTCAAACCTCACACAGATCGTTGCCTGAGGCTGGAATTGAACCTGGGACCCTGGTGCTGTGAGGCAGAAGTGCTAACCAGTGAACCACAGTGTCCATACCCCCATATGGGTATCTGTGGAATGCTTTTCACCTTAAGAGCCTCACATTGCACATAGTGAAAGACCCTTTTCCTCTCAGAATGAAACTCTTACCACAGCCACTCCAGCTGTGGTGGCTACCATTTTCAGCTCCATTGTGCACTTATTTTTTACAGCACGATGGAAGGAAACAACAATTTTTCCTCAAGCAAAGAGCCTCAGGCTCAGCCTCTTACTATTAGAGATACCTCATACCCATAAACATTCCTTTCCTGGTAGTCCTCTTCATCAATCTCATTGGTTTTGCACTTCCCCAAGACCCCAAGCAACACATCTATCCCATCATTGATGGTGATGAGCTGGCTCAGGACTAATGGACTCCCTTTTAAACTCTATCTTTCTTTTTTCCCTTATTCTTAAATTATTTAAAATGGCGCCGGATCGTAGTGACATTGGGAAAGCTTTTCACTGTATTTTACTGCTTTTCTCACTGTAACATATATGTAACAACAAATCATTCAATTCAAAATTATTCAATCCTTCATCTCCCCCTTTACTCCCCAAGCCACAGTCTTATTGAATCAAAGTGCCAGATAGAATAGACCATATTCCCTGCCCCCCCCCCCCCCCCCCCCCCATTGAAGCCAGTATGTTGTTGACTGTTGATAAACACCACCCCCACTCCTGCATTACACCTTTCCCTTCAATGCTTTATCATCTCCTCCCACTTAGATATTAAGTTGTCCCCTTTTCATTTGTAATTTCCTGTTGTCTCCAATCCACACAGTTGAGTTCCCCAACGTCCCTTAGAGAACATTGACCTCAGATAAACCCACCTTGACATTTAGCAGATAGACCCCAGGACTGACTGTGGACCACACTCTTGACCTATGTAGGCAGCCCTGGATGATTAGTGACCAGATCCTTGAATGATCTCCATGCAGCTCCCTGACTGACTTCTCCCAACTCCCAGAGTTGGTTGCACCAGAGGCACAGGTTGACCATGGTGCACTTCCCAAACTATAGGAGTATGGACACCCTGACAGTGACCAGCCCAAACCCCTGGACTGGTACCCAAGGCTGCCACTGTCTTATTAGAACTCCCTCACTGAAGAGTATCTCCCTGGACTTGACTGAGCACTATTTCTCTTAGACTTTGAGACAGTATGTTCAGCACTTATACAATTGGCACATTGTGCAGTTGAGAGAATGATACATCACGGTGCCATACAGCAAGATGTCCACCTCCTTGACTGGTCACTGCTGTCAACCAGGACAAGCTGCCTGGCTTTGTGCCTGCACAGAAAGGCAAGGCAAGACAGAAGTACAGTGAGCCTTTAAGTTCTGGTTCAGGGAGCAAAGCATAAAAGGCAAAGCAGGGATGCCGTGAGCACAAAGGATGCTGCAAAGTGACTGAGCAGCCCTGAGATATAACCCAGTCCAATCCGTGAGGTAGGTACCTGTCTCTGCGTGCAAAGTCATGGCAACAGCATTGTAATGAAAGATGCTTGTATGCTCCAAAGTGCGACACTATAAATGCAGAGCTGTGCTCTGAGTGAATCATAGGTGTGCCATGATGATGCAGTGAGACCTGTACATGTTGGTTGCCAATGTCTGTGGATGGAGTGTTGTGCAGTCACTACCCATGGATTGTGCCCTGAGATGTTGGTGCCTGGTGTCCAACATGGAGGTCCAGAGGAGCAAACAGCAAGTGAGAGCCACCAGGTTAACTGTCTGACTTCCATGTCAAACATTGCCACCATCTAGTTTCTATCCAGTTAGGGGAAGAATGGAAAATCTCATATGAATGTCCAAAATTAGATAATAAGGAGGTGTTAATACATAATATTACATGCAAATAGGCTTCTCACCACTCAGTGGTGAGAATCTTGTCATGCCATTCAACGCTTAATTGGAAAATGGGAAATTTTGCTCTTGATGTCAAGAAGCATCTTGCTGGCCATCTTGCATGATTCTCCCAATTTTCTCTCCATTGCTTATATTGTTCAGGGGCTGGGAAGATTCCACCCAGAGTTAGCATTTCCAGCCTATGGAGTTAACTTCGGTTTTCTCTCTCCGTAGATGCTGTCAAACCTGCTTTCTATCGTCAGCATTTTCTCCTTTTCTTTCAGCTTGTAGAATCCTAACTTAAGAATTCTAGAATATTATTATTTGTTTTGTTTTTTGGTCTTTGAAGGATTAAGGCTAGAAAATTTTAGTCAGTGTTTAAGAATGTTTGTTTATTATGCCAATTAATTCTTTTTCACATTATAGTAATCATTACAATATTGGAGTATGACGTAATTATAGATATATAGCAACTACTGTACATGTAAGTAAATATTCAATAATGTCTCCACTTAACAAGGAGGCTATATATTCACCTAAAGATCTCTGTTATATAACGATTCTACTCTAAATTTAACACAATGCTCACTCAGAAATCAAATAGATATTGAAACAAATATGTCAAGACAGTCCATTCACTTCCACTATGGCTTTCTAGCAATGGAAAGTGGGTAGATATGCTTTTAAAGAAGAGTTTAATTGGAGGTCCTGGCAAAGCTCTAATTCTATATGCAGTCAACAAATGGCTAACCTTGTCTGTGTGTGACCCATTGTTTATTTCATTCTAGCTTCACAAAAAAAAAGTCCTTGTTTCTGTAGCACAGTGTAAGAGCTGCTATTTCAGAGGTAATCAATCACCAACTGTATCACAGTGATATGGGAATTGCATAATGGGAAGATTGTGTAAGGCTGGCAGATTTTCATTCTTAAAGGATATTTAGAGAACCTTTTCAAGTTCTTACAACATTCCAATAGCTTTTTGTTTCCATTTTTGTTTAAATTGAATTTAATTGTTAAAGTGCCATGCTGGAGTTAAAGAATTCTCTGGATTACTTTTCCACTCCTCCTGATTTAATGTCAAGAAATAAAACCAGTATAATCTTGTAACTTTTTGAAATGATTCTGGGCAACACACAGAAGGAACTGTTTGCGAAGTGGTAATCGTGTATATGACAATCAGCTACTAGTTTGTTAGTCCTTCAGGTCAAAGCACTTTGCACGGTTTAGTTTTTAACAAGCTTTCAGTGAAATAGCTAACAAAGTTATTCCCTTGAATAGCTGTGTGCACTTTATCCGAAAAATATATGACAACTTTTTAAATTTCCAGGTCACAGTGATGTAATCATGGGCCTGGCTTCTATGAATCGAGATGACCTCTATGAAAGACTGAAATTCTTACAAAATGGTAAAAATTTACAGTTTTCTGGACATCATTTTACATAATACTGTTTGAACAGCTGTATAATACCGCACGTTTCTAAGGTTGGAGTTATTTTATTGTGAAATACACAGTAGCCTAGAATTTCCGGTCAGTGACGATGGTGGTCATATTGCCACTCCCTGTGAAACTTTCTCTGATCCAGTGATACTACATATTTCTTCCGGGGTCTTCCAACGCTGGCTAATGCAGAAACGGGCAGTGTAGCCTCCCAAGATAAGACCAGCAGGTGCAGGAGAGATGTGTGTTGAGGGGTGGGGAGGAGGTGCATTGGGGTGGTTGTCTTAAGTCTCTCAATGAATGAGTGTGTGCTGGTGATTGGGTGAATAAATAGGTGAGTGGATGATAGAGTGAATGAACAGATGGGTGCAGTGGGGAATTGGATAGTTGGGGGTGTGTCTGGTTAGGGGGTGTTTTCAGATCTGATTGGCATGTTTATTGGGTCTCGGGGAGGTGCGGGCGTTCTGCTGTGGTCAGGGCTGGAGTGTTATCAGGTGCTTAGGGATTAGTGAAGGGTAGTAGTCAGGTCCGGATGGAGAGGGGTAGTCGACAGTTATTTGCATCAGGCTAAGGCTAGTTGAGTGGTCGGTGGTAGTGAGGTTGGATCTACAGACTGGTTAGATTGGTGCATAAGTAAGGGAAATATTTGACTCATTGGAGGACAGTCATATGGTATTGGTAGTTAAGCAAGAGCGTCAATGTGGTGCTCACTTCAGTTAAATGGCTGTTAAACAAGGTATTAAACTTTCATACGTAACTATGCAGCTAAGTTCCACTTATTTGGTCCAAGTCTACACCCTATACTAAGGGTTGAAGACGTTCATGTGTGGTCCTGGGCAGCAGGGAACCAGCCTTTTGGAGGTTTAAACCTCCTGGGCAATTTGAATGTAGGTCTCCAGCCTCCTGATGCATACTCTTCAATGTATGTCTTATTTCTGATGACCTGGAGACCGTATGTTTAGAACATTTAATCTTTCATTCTGGTAAAGTGGAGTTAAATACTTAAGTTAGTCAGAGGTCGAATCAAAGGAAATATGTTCCTTATTTTCTACTTCTGTCATTGATTGTTAGGCTTGGTTGTTGTTAGCAGTTTAAGATTACAAGTCTAAAGAAATCAACATCCATGAATTTGTTCCCATGCCAAATCAAACAGGAATAGATAATATAACTTGTTGGAACTAAAATCGGAAGCTTAAACTTGATCCAAAGTATTGTCATAGAACACAGAACATAGAACATAGAACAGTACAGGCCTTTTGGCCCACGATGTTGTGCCAAACTTTTACCCTAATCTTAAGGTCCATCTAACCTCCACCCTTACCTTATATGATCATCCATATGCTTATCTAATAGCCGCTTAAATGCCCCTAATGAGGCCGACTCCACTACCCTCTCCGGTAATGCATTCCACGCCCCGACCACTCTCTGAGTAAAGAACCTACCTCTGACGTCTCCCCTATATCTACCTCCACTCACTTTAAAACTATGCCCCCTCGTAATAGCTACCTCCACCCTAGGAAAAAGTCTCTGGCTGTCCACTCTATCTATACCTCTGATCATTTTGTACACCTCTATCAAGTCACCTCTCATCATTTGTCGTTCTAAAGAGAAAAGCCCTAGCTGTCTCAACCTTTCCTCGTAAGACCTTCCCTCCACTCCAGGCAACATCCTGGTAAATCTCCTCTGCACCTTTTCCAACGCTTCCACATCTTTCCTGTAATGAGGCGACCAGAACTGGACACAATACTCCAGATGTGGCCGAACCAGGCTTTTGTATAGCTGGAGCATAGCTTCACGGCTCTTGAACTCAATCCCTCTATTAATGAAAGCTAACACACCATACGCCTTCTTAACAACTCTATCCACCTGGGTGGCAGCTTTCAGGGAACTGTGGACATGAACCCCAAGATCCCTTTGCACCTCCACACTGCCAAGAATCTTTCCGTTAACCCTGTATTCTGCTTTCAAGTTTGTCCTTCCAAAATGAATCACCTCACACTTTTCCTGGGGTGTGGAGAACCTTTCCCTGCTCTGCTCTATCAAAGGACATTTTAGTAACCAATAAGTTAGCCAGGGATGGTGTTTGCAGTGGTAGGTTTCCAATAACCTTTATGTGTGGTTTGATAAAAGAACATTTGAGGAGTATTCCTTTTGCAAATCCTACCCATTAACATGGAAGGACTAAAACAATGCATATCCCTTATAACCAATGTTCAAAAGGCACAGAGACTTCTTACAATGTCTTATGGTTGGAATATCTTATCTCCATGATTTCCTAGTAATTGTTCAGAGTTTCAGTAATTGTGACAAAATTTGAGTATCCCTTTTTCATTTAGAATCTAGAATTCCGTAACATATTCACTCAAACCAACCCTTTTGTATATCACCACCAGGTCATCACAACCCCATAAACTGATGGAATAATCTTCATTTGTCTGGATAATTGCAGTACTAACAATACTCAAGAAGTTTGGCACCACATGAGACTAAGCTTGAAACCCCCTTTGGCATCTTAAAACTTTTCTTTCGTATATCCCCAAATATCTTTGGATATTCATGAGCTCTGTGCCATATTTCATAGATTGAATAGGGATGGGCCCTACCTGGGATCTGAGACATTTTTAAGAAAGTGGCTGTTTTGCATGTTTGCTGTCTAGAATGGGTACAGAGGAGGTAAACATTGACATTCTTGTAGGTGAAGTTGCTATAAAAGTTCAAACATTTTGCTGGCTAAAACTAAAATTCTATTCTACCGGTGGAAAGTTAAAATTGTGCATTCTTTCTTCAATCTCTGTTACTGAAGTAGTGCTCATAACAAGTGACAGCTTAACTGATTCCAAGACCACTGAGTTACCATCTTACCAGTAAATTTTTATTATTCATTCACAAGATGTGTGGGCATTGCTGGTAAGGCCAGTGTTTGTTGCCTATCCCTAATATCAAGAGGCAAGCTGCATGTTTGAACTCCAGCTGTTCCTGTGGTGAAGGAACATCCATAGCACCATCAGTAAGGGAGTTCCCAGCTTTTTGACCCTTTGATGGTGAAGGAATGATGACACAATTCCAAGTCAGGATGGTAAATTACTTGATGGAGAACCTGCATGTGGTGGTGTTCCATTCGCTTGATGATCTCATTCTACTTGATAACATGGGTTTCTGACTCGGAAGCTGCTGTCAAAGGAATCAGACAAGTCGCTGCACCGTATCTTGCAGATGGTGCATACCACAACAATGGTACTCCTACAATGGAGGAAGAAAAGATTAAGGATGCCAAAGGGGGTTTCAAGCTCAGTCTTGTGTGGTGCCAAACTCCTTGAGTGTTGTTAGAACTGCAACTATCCAGGCAAGTGAAGAGTATTCCATCAATTTACAGGGATGCGATGACCTGGTGGTATTATCGCTGGACTATTAATCTAGAGACACAAGTAATGTACTGGGGACATGGGTTCAAATCCCGCCACAGCAGATGAATTTAATAATAATGTAGAATGAATAGTCTCATGATGGCCATGAAACCATAGACAATTGTCATGAAAACCTATCTGGTTCATGAGTGCTCTTTAGAAAAGGAAATCTGCTTGATCTGGCCTAGATGGGAGTCCAGACCCACAGCAACGTGGTTGACTCTTAACTGCCCTCTGGGTAATTAGGGATGGGCAATAAATGCTAGTGATGCCCTCAGCCAGTGGACTGATAAAAACAAACTCAAATTTGTGACTTGTGCCTTGGTGATGTGGGTGACGGACAGGATTTCGAGAGGCAGAACAGGATTTATATACCACAGAGTTTCCAGCCTCTGACCTACTCTTGGAGCCACAGTATTTATGCAATTGATCCAATTAATTTTGTAATCAATGATTAATGGAGATTCAGCAATGAGAAAGCTGTTAAATGTCAATGATATCGATTCCTGCATAGATATAATCAATTTTTAACTCTTCATCTCGGATAGTTCACGTCCTGATTTTTTTTAACCATCCCTATTAGCTCTCCCCTGTCCTTAACAGAACTTTGCCTCAGTTCACATTTCAAAAGTCAACAAAGGAAGTTACAATGTTAAACATCATGCAATCTATGTTCGGACCACTGTTTACTATATACAAAAATTCTTCATGTGATCAAAGGTGTGTGATTTCTTTATATATATTTGAAAATCATTTTTTTAAGAGTTTGAATGTCACAATAATGTCAGGTATGTGTTGGTTACTTTTGTGAATGTTTCTAACAAGGTCAGACAATGTTTCTGGTACGGATATTTAATCCAGTTCGTGTCATAGAGCAGTGACTGAGAATACCTGGAATGTTTATGAAAATTTGTTTGTGCTGTGGTGGTTTATGACTGGTAGAGCAAACTTTGAAGGCTATTAGTTTCTTTCTAGTTCAGAAAAATCAAGAATTCATTTTAGCTTAGAAAACCCAGAGGTCGAAAGTTCTTAGGAAAATTTAGAGGATCAAAAATAAGTACAGCTTCTCTCTTAGGATGGAGGATTTTTTACAGCAGATCATGGGAAAACACAGTTATCTCTGTAGAAAGGTTTAGTTGTGTAATTTCTACACCAAGAGTGTATATTATTGAAAGCTGATTAAGTTTAAACTTTATGTTTTGAGAGTGTTCATGCAAGAATATTCCATGGTTCACAGGGTGAAAATTGAGGAAAATCAATTCAATAGAACTTAAGGATTTAATTTCGAGGGATAACTTCTCTGGATTTCTCTGTAAAGGATAGTGTTAGGAAATAAGTTGAAAACTTTTTATTGGTGTGTGTTTTAAGCTTTTTCTAACTGTTCTAGCTTGTTTTGTTTGTTTACAACTTTTGTGTAATAAACGTTGTTACAGACACTTTGCAGCCTTGTGTGACTATGTTTAAGTGACTATGTGCGCTAATTTTTATAAAAGAGCATTAATTATTTTGGGACCTGATGTCCAATAGTACCATCAGCTGGGATTAAAGTATTTATTTGAGTTATAGTGTTAAAATTTGAAGATAATACCACATTAGGCAGTATTACTGACAAGGGGAATGACTAATAAAATATAGGAAAACATTCAACAATCTTGCAGAGTGTACAGATAAATAACAAATGAAATTCAGTAAAGCAAAATGTGAGGGGGCTCATTTTGGCAAAGGGAGTCAAGCCAATTATTGCTTGGAAGCAAATCTTGTGGAGGAGCAGGGCGATTTGGGAACGCAAATATAGGTCATTAAAATCAGCAACATATTTGCAACATAGTTCAGAATGCCTTAAACAATTCAATTTGTGCTAGGGTTCATTATAGAGAAGAATAGAATAAAAATCTATGTCACATTTATGTATAATCTTAGATCAAACTCGAAATACTGTGAAGTTCTGGTCTCTGAAGGGTAGGAGAGGGTTTAGAAAATATCATAGTGCATTTGGTATGCTTTTCTGTGTTTCATATCTTGGCCCATGTTTTGTATAACTTTTCAACCAAATAAGTATTCACACAAATAACTTGTCCCAAAGAACAAAATATGATTTATAGAATCTAATGTTTTACAAAACTTTTTTGATTCAAAATATTAATTGTGTTGTAGCTATGGGTGTAATTCCATCTCCATTCGATTGTTACATGTGTAACCGTGGCTTGAAGACTTTAGCCCTTCGAATGAAACAACACTTCAAGAACGCACTGGCTGTAGCCAAGTTTTTGGAGGCAGATCCTCGGGTAGAGAAGGTTATTTTTCCAGGTTAGTGCTTAAGCCGTAATTTCTATTATCAACGTGCAGTAGTTTTAGTAGTGCACTATTTCAGTAGTGAACTAACTCGATAGATACAATAAATTTAAAGAGTTTATTATTTGCTGTCTGATTGTTGTCCCTAATTGGATCAATTAACAAACCGGTCAGATGTGACTTAGTTCATTAGATACTCTGTTTCTCTTCATAAAATTACAATATTGATAACTGTGCACATGTCTCAGTCCAATAACCACATCAGCCTCATATTACACTTCAGAGTGTAGCACAGTCAATATTTTACATTGAGTGCATTGCTTTTGCTCTGGATCGCAGAATGCTATGTATAGGACAGCTTGTAATTCTACTGTATTTCTTTATTCTTGAGGAAATGTAATGGTGAAGTTTATATGTCAATTTCAAGATGCAGAAAGGAAATTTGTTTTGATGTTGGAAGCCATCAAAAATCTAGCATAAGATTGATTGTTTCAGTATTAGTGTTAGTGTTAAACTTCCATATATTGCTTTTTTTCAATTAATTCATGATATATGGGTGTCATTGGTTATGCCTTCATTTATTACCTGGTGGGTAGTTAAGAATCAACCACGATGTTGTGGATCTGGAGTCATATGTAGGCCAGACCAGGTAGGACGGCTGATTTCCTTCCCTCAAGGGCATCAGTGAAACAAAAGGTTTTTAATGACAATTGATCGTGGCTGCCAGTTGGTTAGCTTTTTATTTAATGCCAGAGTTTCATTGGACCCAAGTTTCACCATCTGTTATGGTGCGATTTCAACCCACATCCTCAGAACATTTACCAGGGTTTCTGGATTATTATTCTAGTGATAATTAGCACCAAGTCACCATCTCCCCTGTTACAAGTTTTATTTTGCACAGGCATAGAATCAGAACAGAATAAACATCCGTTGAAATTATTTGCATTGACACAGGTTTTACATCTTGCAGGGAAGCCAAAGACTTTATAGGACTGGTGAAAATGTTCAGTCCTCTGAGTTCTAAATAGTATAATCAATGCCAGTAACAAAAATAGTGCTGAATGAGCAGTAATTTGACTGAGAATCTGAATAAGTCTATTCTACCACTCAAACAACCACAGAAAGTGACTCAAAACTTCACATCTGATCAACAACCCGAAGGAAATTAACTATATATGACTCCATGGGAGCCAGGCCAATGTTCACAGATACAGGAAATGGACACGCATCCAGCATTCTGTGAAGAAGAGAATACCTCTTCCAATCAGAAAAAAATATTACCTGTTCCAAAAATCCTGGAACCTGCAATGAAGAAAGCATTTGTTACAAAGAACAACTGCCGTCTATGATGGGCATTCACAAATTTGAATGCCCCACCCCTATCCCGCTAATAATATGGGGCAATGGTTTGGAGGGCATGTCAGGCGCACCACCAGGTATACCTAAAAATGACGTGTCAACCTGGAGAAACTACAAAACAGGACAACCTGTGTGTACCAAGCAACATAAGCAGCAAGTGATAGAGCTAAGTGATTCCACTACAAACAAATCAGATCTAAGCTCTGCAGTCGTGCAAAATGCAGTTGTGAATGGTGCTGGACAATTAACTCACTGGAGGAGGAGAAATCCAAAAATATCTCCATCCTCAATGATGAGGGAGCCCAGAACATCAGTGCAACAGATAAGGCTGAAGCATTTGCCTCAATCTTCAGCCAGAAGTGCCAAGTGGATGATCTACCTTGGCCTTCTCTGGAGTTACCCAGTATCCTATCTGGCATCTGTGCTATGGCTATAACAGCAGATCAGAGGCAAGGAATACTGTGGGGAGTAACTCATTTCCCAACTTCCCAAAGACTGTCCACCATCACAAGTCTCAAATCAGGAGTGTGATGGAATACTCCCCACTTGTCTGGATGAGTGCAGATCCAACATAACCCAAGAAGCTTGACACCATCCAGGACAAAGCAGTCCACTTGATTAGCAGTACATCCACTAACATTCAATCCTTCCAAAACTCAGTAACAGCAGTGTGCACCATTGACAAGATGCTCTGCAGAAATTCAACAAGGCTCCTTAGACAGCATCTTCCAAACCCAGGGCCACGACTTCTGGAAGGACAAGGGCAGCAGAAAAATGGGAATGCCACCAATTGCAAGTTGTCCTTCAAGCCGCTCAATATCCTGACTTGGAAATGCTGTATATAGCTGTTTCTTCACTGTTGCTGGATCAAAATCCTGAACATCTTCCCCAGTGTTGTGGATCTACCAGAACTAAATGGATTGCAGTAGATCAAGAAGGTGTCTCACCACCACCTTCTCAAGGGCTAATTGGGATGGACAATAAACGCTGGCTTAGTTGGCATAGCCCAACACCCTTTAATGAGGAGGAGAAAGCTAACATGGCAACCAGAAGGGGAAGTTGTGTAGTTAGTGGTTTGGTGTAAATCAGATCAATTGATCAGTGGGAGGGTTTTGAGGACAAACAGGGGTTAAAGGCAGCAAGAGGGAAGATAGGAGAGAAATCTGTGAGGTCAGGACTAGGGTATGAAGTATCCTTAGATAGATTTTACTCAGTGGAGTAATTAAGGGAGGGAAGTGTTAAAGAAAGCTCAAGAGCTGTGACCAAGAAATCCATGTGTTTGTCACAATTTAAAGAAACAGGGATTTAGCATTGCATTCTAAGATGGACTTGAAATTGTGACACACATGAGCAGGTCCTCATTAATAGTTTTTAATGTTGACAGCTAAATGGCTGAACCATTTTTCTGCCATGTCTTTTCAAGTCGGTGGATTTAGGGAATTGAAAATGAAGGCCACTTGCCTTAATGCAATCTCATTTGTATGTGCATCTTGGTTGATGTAGGCTACACAACTGGAAGGTAAATATAGTTGAATGTGGAGCTTTTTGCAGTGATAACCCCTGCCATACTATCCACTCCCTATCCTCCACCTATGATAGAGTATTGCAGAGCTGGCGAGAAACACCATTCTGGTTTTAAAGCAAATTGAAGTGGTAAGGAGTGCCTATTTAAGTGTTGTATTTCTATATACCTCATATACTTTTATAAATGTCACCTTTATTTTGTCAATATACTCTTTTCAGGTCTCCCTTCTCATCCACAATATGATCTGATAAAGCAGCAGTGTACTGGGAGTTCGGGCATGATGGCTTTCTTGATTAAAGGAGGTTTGGAAAATGCCAAGACATTCCTTAAAAACTTAAAAGTGAGCACTTTTGAAATTTCTTCCTCACCTATGTCATATTAAAATTTACTGGATTAATATTTGCTGAGGCCACTCTTATAGTGGGCAAACTTCATGTTCACTTCTGTTTGTGTTCCAACAGTATGACTGAGCCTAGTTTCAGCATTGTCAAATAAAATGGGGAGCTTTTCATTGTCTTCTGAAAAAGAGAGAGGGAACTTTCTGTCGTAGAGAGGGGAAAGAATAGAAACTTGCTGCAGTATTTCAGTGTCTTGGCCTGGAGTCTGTGCTTCAACACATTGCCCCTCTATGTTGGAGTATCAAAGATGCCTCAAAATGTACCCTCACCCAACATCCTCAGACACGAATTCTCCAACAGAAAATGCTGCAAATACTCAGCAGGGTCAGGCAGCATTTATGGAGAAAGAGAAGGAGTTGATATTTCTGGTTGATGTCCTATTGTCAGTTGTGTCATAATGCATTGGGTATTAAGCTGCTCTATTCCCGAAATCATTACGAAAGTTAAAGATGTTCGAAAGTATGCAAAATTCCTCAATTTTTCTAATTTCCAGACCCAGGTTGATAGAATTAATGGACCAGGATTTTGTACTTTCCAATAAGTACTTTTTTATTACATGCAATCAGACTTTCTCTACAGATAAACAGTCATGAACCGTCAGCATCTAATACTATAAGTTAAAACTCTAATCCCTATATAAACTCTCCTTATGCACAGATTGACGGACATAGATAGGAAATATAAAAACATGGATGAAAGGAAGGCTGGAAAAGTAATTTCAGTGATCTGCTTGATTCTTTGAATAATAATGATAATTCAGGATTTCAATAATACTTTTATTTCTATGTTAGAGAAAAATTGATCAAGTTTGATTCTTACTATCAAATTATTTTTATGTAAAAAGAAATCTTCTGTTTTTCAATGGGACAGGTTGTACATAGCCTGTCTCCAAAGTGAGATTCTGAATAGAATAACCTTGTTTGCTTTTCCTGTTTTATCTTTCTTTTCAGCTGTTCACGCTTGCAGAGAGTTTGGGAGGATATGAAAGTCTAGCGGAGCATTCGTAAGGAACTTGCAAAAAATATTTATAGATTTAAGAATCACGGTATTTTAGAGTTAGGAAAAAAGGGCCTAAACTTGAGATAGAGCAGTTTAGGGATTTGAAAGTGAGTATGGAAAATTGTACAAAGGTGATGAACAAAAATAAAACACTTTTTCATTGCAAGCAACAAAATATGATCACTAAAAAAAAAAATCAAATGTTGATTTAAAAAAAGAAGTTGCTGAACACTGCAAGAAATATTTTATAGTAATATTCATTGGCAATGTTCTATAAAAGCCTTTAGGCTGGTAATGAAATTAAAGCCCTCAAAGTGTTGCAAGGTATAAGATAAGAGTTGCATCTGATCAAAAGGAAAGGCTATTCTGTGTATACTATTAATAATTCAATTAGGGACTGTTAACATGCTAAAGAAAAAATCCAAATACCTCTTTTTAAACCAATAGAATTACAACACACTATTTAATTGTTTGACAAAATGAACTGTAAAAAATTAAACAAAATGCTTACCAATATGGTTTCTAATTATATATGTTGTGCACTCTGATTTACTTTGTATTTTCCCAAGAATTATCTTATAAGACACTTCAATATTATAATTATTTACTTCCAAAGGGACCACCCATAAATACGGTCCTCTGGATACTATCTTTATTTTTCGTCAGCACAAACTATAATTGGATGTAAAATTTTAATTTACCATCTCCTGACTGTGAACAATCTAACCCCATGATCTGGTTATTTTCTCAGGACTTCAAAGCTATTTCAGCTGATTACCTTCATTGGCAAAAATACACTGCCCAACTGTTCTCCCAGTAGGAGATCTTTAGGCCTCTGTTTTTCCCAAGGTTCAAGCCGATATTAATCCTCACCCACCTTCCATGCATCACTAAAGAATTTAATGTTTTATTCTGCTTACAGCACAGGTCTATCTAACCATCATTTATTTTACCTGACTTTTCTCAGCAAGCTGCAAACCACATGAGGTCCAAACTGCAAGTAAAACCTGACTTAGCAAAATCCCAGATAAATTTACATCAGAGATAGTAGGAACTGCAGATGCTAGAGAATCTGAGATAACAAGGTGTAGAGCTGAATGAACACAGCAGGCCAAGCAGCATCATAGGAGCAGGAAGGCTGACGTTTCGGGCCTAGACCCTTCATCTCTTTGATAACGAAGCCTGTCCTGGGTAATTCTCAAATCAAACTTAATCAAATTATGTCTCACTTACAATTTCTCATTCTGTTAAACAAACACAGTAACATTTTGAATAGTCATTCTTTAGGTATTCTGGTAATCATTAAAGCCCAGGATTTGGATTCTCTTCCCTTAGCTGCTAACAGCTTAAGGCAAGAAGACCCTGACATTTCTATGCTGTGTTTAATTGCCATTTATTCTACTTCCTACAGTTAAACTTGAATTCCTGAAACTACAAGCTACACTTTGAAACTAAAAGGTGCATTCTAAAACCATTGAAACAACAATGAGATATTCACAGATACACACTTACTTTGAAATGTATTTGAGAGTTTGTCAATTTAGGATGAACCAATCCCACAAGAAGCATGTGACTACAGTTAAAGATGGTTGTGAAAGACCTGTTGAAATATATTCACAACTGTCCATAATCAATAAATCTTAAAGAAGAAGATATTTATCTGTGTGCATTTTAACATTCTTGTGTAGATGATTTGAATTACAAAAAGCAAGCTTCTTCATGGGCTTAAAATAAAGGTAAAGAAATCAGATAGCAAGAACTGCAGATGCTGGAGTCAGAGACAACACAGTGTGGAGCTGGAGGAACACAGCAGGCCAGGCAGCATCAGAGGAACAGAAAAGTTGACATTTCGGGTCAGGACCCTTCTTCAGAAATGGGGAGGGGGGAAGGGAGCTGGGAAATAAATAGAGAGAGGAGGGGTGGGGCTGGAGAAGGTAGGTAGGATGGTGATAGGTGAGTGCAGGTAGAGGGTGGTGGGGATTGGTCAGTGGGATAGGTGGGAGAGAAGATGGACAGGTTGTGTCAGGTCAAGGATGCAGGGATGAAAGGGAGGGTTGGACAGGGGAAGAGGCTGGGGGTGGGGAGATTTTAAAACTGGTGAATTCTAAGTTTAGGCCATTGAGCCGTAGGCTCCCAAGGTGGAATATGATGTGTTGTTCCTCCAGTTCCTGGGTGGTGTCATTGTGACACTGGAGGAGGCCCAGGATGGACATGTCACCCGGAGAGTGGGAGGGGGAGTTAAAACGGTTGGCAACTGGAAGGTGATGTCGTTTGTTGCAGACAGAGCACAGATGCTGTACGAAACGGTCTCCAACTCTACGCTTGGCCTCACTGATGTAGAGGAGGCTACATTGGGAGCAGCGGATAAAGTAGACCAGGTTGACGGATGTGCAGGTGAGCCTCTGTCTGTTGTGAAAGGTTTGTTTGGTGCCTTGAATGGAAGTGAGGGGGGAGGTGTAGGGGCAGATGTAGCACTTCCTGCAGTTGTAGGGAAAGGTGCTGGAGGTGGTGGGGCTCATGGGGAGTGTGGAGCAGACAAGGGAGTTGTGGAGAGAGCGGTCCCTACGAAAGGCAGATAGGGGTGGGGAGGGAAAAATATCTTTGGTTGTGGGGTCGGATTCAGGTGGCAGAAATGGCAGAGAATGATATGTTGGATGCAGAGGTTGGTAGGTGATACGTGAGGACAAGGGGGATTCTGTCTTTATTTTTGTTGGGAGGAGGGTTTGTGAGGGCAGAAGTGCGGTAATTGCAAGAGATGCAGTTGAGGGAATTTTTGATCACCGGATGGGGGAGGTTATGGTCCTTGAAATAGGAGGACATCTAGGATGTTCGGGAGTGGAACGCTCATTTGTGGGAACAGATGCAGTGGAGGCGGAGGAATTGGGAATAGGGGATCGCATTCTTGCAGGAGGGTGGGTGATAGGAGGTGTAGTCCAGGTAGCTGTGGGAGTTGGTGGGCTTGAAATAGACATCAGTTTCGAGGCAGTTACCAGAGATGGAGATGGAGAAGTCCAGGAAGGAGAGAGAGGTATCGGAGATGGTCCAGGTGAATTTGAGGTTGGGGTGAAAGGTGTTAGTAAAGTTTGAACTGTTCAAGCTCCTTGTGGGAACACAAGGCGGCGCCGATACAATCAGCGATGTAACGGAGGAAGATGTGGGGGATAGTGCCAGTGTAACAGTGGAAGAGAGACTGTTCCACATATCCTACGAAAAAGGCAGGCATAGCTTGGGCCCATGTGAGTGCCCATGACCACCCCCTTAGTCTGTAGGAAGTGGGAGGAGTTGAAGGAGAAGATGTTAAGGGTAAGGACGAGTTTGGTTCGGTGATAAGGGTGTCGGTGGAGGGGGACTGGTTGGGTCTATGGGAGAGGAAGAAGCGGAGGGCTTTTAGGCCATCTGCGTGGAGGATACAAATGTACAGGGATTGAATGTCCATAGTAAAGATGAGGTGTTGGGCGCCAGGGAATTGGAAGTCTTGGAGGAGGTGGCGGGTGGTGTCCCGGACGTAGGTGGGGATTTCCTGGACCAGGGGGGAGAAAACAGAGTCAAGGTAAGTGGAGATAAGTTCGGTGGGGCAGGAGCAGGCAGAGACAATGGGCCGGCCGGGACAGTCGGGTTTGTGGATTTTGGGAAGGAGGTACAAACAAGTGGTGCTGGGTTGGGGAATGATGAGGCTGGAGGCTGTGGGTGGGAGGTCACCTGAGGTGATAAGGTTATGAATGGTCTGAGAGACGGTGGTTTGGTGGTCATTGGCAGGGTCACAATCGAGAGGGCAAGTAGGAGGAGGTATCAGAGAGTTGGTGCCTGGCATTGTCTATGTAAAGGTCAGTGCGCTAAACCACTACTGCACCCCCTTTTACGCATTCATCCCAGCTCAGTTAGGATTCCAGTTGATGTTGATACTGGACAAGTCAGATCTCAGAGTGAAATCTGGCTTGATAGACCAGAGTCAAAGAATTGTTACAGTATAGAATAATGTCATTTGGTCCATCATGCCTGCACCAGTTTTATTACTTAGTGCTAATCTCTTGCTTTTTCCTCAAATTCTTGAACAGCATTTCTATCCAAATAATCCAAATGTCTTCTCCAATGTCTCAATTGAACTGACCTCCACCACATTTCTGTGTCCCATATATTTTATTTTTGAAGTTTTTTTTACTGTGGTGGTCAGTCATTGTGCATGTTCACACAAGGCTGCTAATGTTCCTTTAACAAATGACCAAAAAAAAAGCTATATATGTGACAATTTAGATAGGTCCTAACGTTCACAGAAATATTCACTTCTTTTCTCAGCAGTATCTTTTAGTCATCCAGCGCAGTGAAATATCATTCCTATATTAACTCTTTCATTTCTTACTCAAATTACTGTTTCCAATTCTTCTCCTTGAACTGCTGTAAAAGCTTAAGATTTCTTTTCAGCTCTGAAGGCCTGAAGACTTCATCCCAGCCCTGATGGCCTGGATTCCTTTTTCTAATGCTAACAGCCTTGAGATTTCTACCAGTTTGCTGTTTTGGTGGACTGATAAGGAGTAGACTTGGAAACTTTGTGATGCTATAACTTCTGTTTTTCCTAAAGCAAAGGTTATGCTGCTGCTATCTTTCTGAAAAAGCATTTAAGGATTACAGAGGGTCAAATATGTGACTGTCTGACCAGGCAACTCCTCAAAATTGCATTCCCCAAATATGGTGCTGGTCTTAAGTTGGTTATTACACCCTGGTTAATTGTTTGAAGGAGCAAGTACAATTGCCTTTGTGAAGATTTAATCATTTCAGGAATGCCTTTTGGATAGTCTCAGGAAAAGTGTACTTAATACTTCTTAGTTTGGAATATATTCTTGTGAGACAGTGAGGCAGTTTTTGAGTATGAAAATCAGATCATGTGATCTCTGACAGCCATCACTACAGTATATTGTTCATCTTCTAAAAGGAAAAAGTCAATTTCAAACAGTCCACATTGAATAAAGCTTATGTTTTAAAAGCATTGAATATGAATTGCCTTTACTG